GAGATTGTGAGAGTATTAAAAAATTTCCCCTATATTCGAATTAATGTTGAAAACATGTCATCCGAAGAAGTAACGAATTCAATGAAGGCATCATCATTTGCTATACCAAGGGAAACATCAATATTTCTACTAGTGAGTTCCTTCGATGATGATAATGATGATAAATCGATTTCACTATCTTTCAAGTATTTAACACAACTCTCACCAGCTAAAGTTCGTCCTAAAACACTGTTAATTTCTTTCACCAAGCAAAAAACTTCTTTCAAAGGATTTCTAGAAAAAATATGGTTGTTAAATCGATTTCTCGATTTTACAATTTTAGAAATAAGAATAAAATCGAAATCATATTTTCAAAATTTTGAAATAAAAACAGTTCACTATTACAATCCTTTTACAAGGAGTTATTTTCGAAAAAAGTGTTCATCAACAAAAATTTGGTTTCCAAATAAGCTATTAAACCTTTATGGTTATCAAATTACGGCTGGTTTATATATTAATCCACCATTCAGTTTAGCGAAATATGATAAAAATGGAAATTTATCAAGCTGCAGTGGTGCAGATGTGGAAATGTTTTACAGTTTCTCTAAGGCAATGAATTTTACACCCTATATTCATTCGAATGTAAATTCTGTCGTTGGAATGTTTATAGGAAAAAATGTCACTGGACTCTTAAGGGGTCTGGTAAATAATTATCTTAATTTTCTCATTGCATCGGATGTAAATTTTCGACCCGCTTCTTCTGATATATCATACGATTATTCAGCAACAATTGAAACAGAGTCAATTCGTATTTTAGTACCAATTACACACAATATTATCGAAGAACAATATCTTGATGCAAATGTTTTATTTTCAAAAATTCTTTTATTTGTCGCCTTTGTCTTTATAATGTGGGCATTTATAGGAAACAAATTTTGGAAATTAGAATACATTGCAGCTACTCTATTGGGAGTATCAATACCAATTGAACCAACAAAAGTATGTCATCGAATTTTCTTTTTATATCTCATAGCAATTGGCTTCTACTGTTCTAGTGATTTTTTAACTGGTTTAACTGCAAGTCAAATAAAAAATTTGAATCATGATGAAATCAATTCTTTCATGGATTTGGCACAATCAAATTTAACTACAATGATTGGTCCTAATTTTTACAAAACACTTGTTTATGATACAAAAGATTTGCAACTATTAAAAAAGAAAATGATAACATCACAATTTGTTGAAACACAATGTATTCCAATGCTTGTCAAAGACAGAAATATGTCTTGTGTGCTATTAAATGCTTTTGCACAAAAATTAGTACAAGTATTGAGAGATTCATCAGCAAAACCAATCACTAAAGTTTTGACCAAAAATCTTTTCAATGCAAGAAGAATATTATTAATGGAAAAAAGTTCACCATTCAAACCGAGAATTGATCAACTAATTAGAATCTTTATTGAATCTGGCGTGCGTTCAAAATGGCAGAATAACATAACAAATAACGAATTAATGCTTGATATTATCAATTACAATAAGGAAAATGTACAGAAACTTGAAGATTTTGGCGCTGTATCAAATTTAACTTGGGTACTTTTTTCAGTAACACTTTTGGGATTGTTACTATCGTTTTTGGTTTTCATTGGAGAATTATTGTTTCATCATTGAAAACGAAATTCAAATTTCAAATATACTTCATCTCCTTCTGAGGAATTAGAAATTATATTTGAAACAAGGAAAAAAAGAAATATTATTTTTTTTTCGACAATTTTGATAACTTAATTTATCGTTAATTGCACACACGTGTAATACAGATATACTTTTTTCATATATGTGACTATCAATATTTATTTTTACTAATTTTTCTCGATGGATAAAAAAAACATTAATCATATCTCACACAAGAACTGAATGAATTCACCTCTCTCTGGTAACAAATATGGGTGTCTTCTGTCTGTAAAATCTGCTCATTGAAAGATTCTCATGCTTTTGATATCCTTCGCCCCCTTTTCACGCCACATTATTGTCAAAAGACCTTTAGCGGACCGCCGCGAAGGCGAACGAAAAGAATGAAGCAAAAAGTTACAAACTGAAAAATCTAGTGCACAATATATATATATATATATATATATATATATATATATATATATATGAATAATATATATAATAAAAAAAAGAAGGTTACTTTTTTTTACTTTTAAATATAAAAACGCATTATTTGGTTTTATACCCTCAAAAAAAATCTTATGGGAAAATGATGCTTTTGAAGGATATGCGTTTCTCCTTCCTTATATCCTTTTCTGACATAAATATATAACAAAAAAGGAAAATAAGTTCACACGACTACACGGAAAAAAGATTTGTTTGCAACAAAATCGTTTGGTTAGGCAATTTTGGTTATTGCGTAACCAACACAGAAAATTAAAAGGCATTTAAAATAAGCTGCAACGTTTATTGTTTTAATCCAATTTTGCTTATTTTAATCCATTTTGGTATTAAAATAATCAAAATTGGATTAAAATTTTCTGCAACATGTAACTGCATAAAACTTCGGTAATACGTTCCTTAAAATTTTGTTACAGTTTCGTAATTCTCATGATTATTGCTGAATGAAATTTTAGTATCACGTAACTAAAAATTCATTACTGTAATAATATTTTCAGTGATGCTTTAGTTACTTTTATATAATTCAAATTAAAGTGCGTACTAGTAAAAATCCTAAAGCTGTAACAAAGTTTTGAGAAAATATTAAATTAATCCAATAAATCTTATTTTGGGTAAATTCAATTTTTAAGACGCATTTTGTTTTTGGTATTAATATAGGTTATATTTATATATATTCTTTATATGACAGAAAAAATAATAACATATATAATTCCAAGAATAGATTTTTAACACTTTTCTTTACTATATTTTTTATCCAAATTTTGTTGAAGTAACTTGAATTTTTGTTACAGTTTCGTAATTTTCAGGAAATCTCTTTCTTTTCAAAACTGTTTCGAAAATTTCAGTTACAATGTCTTAAATTTTCTGTTATACGGTTACTTGTTTTCCCCTTACGCAACTTAGAAATCAGTTACTTATTTAGAATTTTCAGTAACATTTTGTATTTTTAAGTAAAGTTTGGCAAATTTTCGTTAAAAGTAACTGACTTTAGCTTTCAGTAACAATATTTTGAAAATTATGATACTTTTGTATCTTAATTTTGACGGAAAATTCAGAACATTTCTAACAGTGCTGTTTCTGATAGGTTTTATCATTCCGTAAACGAAAATTTCTTATCAGCTTTAGTTTTTAAGAAAAACGGGTTTAAAATGTTCAAAAATCGCGTTTTTGGCTAACTTTGAGTACCTCTAACCTCTAACACTAAAACAAAAGGTCGTAGAACCTTCCACTTGGGCTTAATTTGAAGCTTAATGTTTTAACTATATAATCCCCAAAAATGACCTATCTTATGCACCATAACCTCAAAGTAATTTGTTATCCATTTTTGATTCCCTGAAATATTAATTTTGTAAAAGTTTGAGCGCGTACATCTAGTCCTTGAGGTTAAGGTGCAGTAATGTAATTTTTATGAACTACAGTCAAGGGATAAATTGAATTGAAGCTCAACAAAAAGGTTCACTTACCTTTGGTTTTATTGACTAAAGTTATTCAAATATTACCAAATAAGTTTTGTAGTTAAATACTGGTTACCAACAATTTTGAGGTTATTAATGAATAATATAATTTTAAGGGCTTGTAGTCTAAAGTTTAAATTTTATTTTAAGTTCAAATAAAAGGTTCTATGATCCTTTTTTCTTTGCTAAAGGTACGCGCTCAAACTTTTACAAAATTAATATTTGCGAATCAAAAATGATAACAAATGACTTTGAGATTATGGTGCAAAATAGGTCATTTTTGGGGATAATAGTTGAAACATTAAGCCTCAATTTAAGGTTCTACGACCTTTTATTTCAGTGCTAGAGGTACTCAAAATAGCCAAAAACGCGATTTTTGAACATTTAAAACCCGTTTTTTTCAAAAATTCAAGCTGATAGGAACTTTTCGTTTACGGATTTGTGTTCAGCATGAAAAAACAGGTCTAACATCTGCCGCACCAAAATCAGTGTTGGCCTACTGTGTAATAAGCGTTGCAGCTTATTTTAATACCTTTTAATTTTCTGTGAAATTTTGGTTGGCTGAAAAATCAGTTTACTTCAATCATATAGTTATATAATATAAAATTATTTGGTTGAAAATTTTTTATTTCCAACCAAATTTTGGATACGACAACTAAATAATTTTATTAACTATACTCAGATCGCTTTTCTCGCAGACAATAAAATAACATTGTTTGTCATAACAAAAAACACTCAACCAAATGTTTTGTTTGACTGTAATGATCTAAATACCAACAAAATTGTTTTGTTGCCCCAACCAAAATTTAGTTGCTCTCTGACTAAACATTTATAGTAAAAAGTTTTCCTCATTTTGAAACTTAATTTTTAAAATAAAAAATCTTTCAGCGAAGGATAAGAAACTCAACAAAACCCTTGCCTTATAAAATATCCTTCGATATATATCAATATAGCTCAATAAATCCAAATCTAATTCTCCCTTGTTCATCATCTCAAAACCAAAACCAATCACAATTTGCACACTTCTAGAATCCTATTTCCACACCCTATATTTGAAAATACGCAAACACATCATCATCATCATCATCGTTATCTGAAATCTCAAAAGGCGTGTTCTTATTCATCATCATCATCAGCAACCACTAATTAGAACGTGGAGTCTAAAAAGCCAAAGAGTCAACATATAATCTACGGTGTAAATGGATTTACGTGGGTGGTAAAGGAATAAGTTTCGGGCGGAGTTTAAAATTGTATCCACCTTCTTCAAAACGAACAACCATATATATGAGAACCAATAACAAACATCACCATTCAAATGGTGTGGTGTACCAGGTTCCTTTCTTCCTTGACTGCTCTTGCAAGAAGGCGGAGCCTGGCGTTTTCCTTTCCCTGATGTGTCAGGTTCTCTTCTCAACAGGCTAACTTAACTTTAGTCACGCAGATCGAGGAGCCTTAAGAGCCTGTCCTGAGGATTTAGTTTGAGTCGAGACCCCGAGCATAGAACAGGTCTTTTCGAGTCGGTTCTACTATTTTTTTTTTAGTTCCGTGTTGTCCTATTTCAATTCATTTTTTTTTCTTCTCTTTGACAAATATCGATCGTGATTTTGAACAATATCGTGTATTTTACTCTTATTGTGGAACTTAGTGCAAATAAATTGCAGTATTTTTTCATTGATGGCTGTCAGTACTCTCAACATGACACCATATCTCACAGGATATCCTTTTCAAGGTTAGTTTCAAAATCTTTTTTTTGGAAATATTAATTACTTTGATAAATCTGAATTAGGAAAATTAAATATTATTTTTAAAAATTATTTTGCTGATTCAGATTTAGAGAGTATAATTTAATGCTTTACGCTTGCGTTTTTTCAACTTTTGTTTGTATTTTGCGGTTTATTTTAATGATTGAAATTTCATTGTGAAAATAAAATTTTCGTCTGTTATTATAAATTTATATTATTATTCCAATATTATTTTATTAATACTCAGTGGGAAATTTACCATTGGCAGAAGAGTGGCCGCCAATATTGGACTATCATTGGTCCTATAATAACCCAATGGTTACCATCGGCAATTTCCCACACATAAACATTTAATTAAATCAAAGAAAAAATTACTCAGCAAAAAAATATTCACCTATGGTACAGAGAGATATATTTCTCTAGAATAGCGAAAACTTTCGCTGTTTTAGTATATAACATATCGCTGATCTAAAAGACTTTTTTGCGTGTAATTTTTTTTTGGTACACTGAAAAAAGGGTTTGGTATTGACAACCAAACGTTTGGTTGGTATTTAAACCAAAATTTTTTTGTTGAATCAACAAAATTTTAATTGTCTCAACCAAAATTTGTTTGACACAACCAAAATTAGAAAAAAAAACGATTTTTCCCTAACTAAAGTTTAATTGGAACAACCAAAATTTTGTTGATTCAACCAAAAAATTTGGATTACTTAAATACCAACCAAACGTTTTGGTTGTCAATACCAAACCTGCTTTTTTTCAGTGTTTTAATATGATTTTAAATTCCTTATAATATTCGTTCAAAATGAAAATTATAGAATTTTTAAAAAACTAAATGTAATAATAATTTGGTAAAATTAAAAAACTTTATATAATATCGCGAGAGAATTTACAACCAAACATATATATATATATATTTTTAATGACTTTACGATATGCCTTTCAACAGACAGAGAAAGAATATATATATATACGTTCCGACGGTATCCCGATAATTTACTAATATAACACCTGGAGCCAAAAAGCATATTATAAATCATTCGCCAAAATTGCTTTAATTGTGTTTAAATAAAAAAAACCGATTATCACACCATTCGTCCTTGTCAACATAATATGTTTTGGTTTTTGTTCACACGCACCTTCATTTCAAAAATTTTATTAAAAAAAAAAAAAAAAATCGAAAAAAAAAACCCTAATTCAATTAAATCATTCGAAAAAGAAAGAGTTAGGTCCGATATGAAAATTCTTCTTTGAATATATAATATATATATAAGAAGCGCGGCAACTCCTATAAATAAAATTACCATAATTAATCCTAATTAAACAAAATTTATTCCATAATTTGAAATGATCGAAAAAGAAAGATGATTGATAGATTCCTTTTTTCCCATATACTCATCATTTGAAAAAAAAAGTTGATTAATAGATATTACTCTTTTTGGAATCTTTTTTATTTCCTTTATCTCATCTCGACATTTTCAATGGGGTTGTAGAAAATGCAGGTCAACGAAAAAATAGAAAAGAGGGAGAGAAATTGGTCCATTTGAAAAGTGAAATGAGGCAATTTGACTTCTGAGCATTATAGGTGTTAGTAGGTGTCGAACGGTGCGGTCTTCCGCACTTTCGAGTGTGTATATATGTATATATATTCACCATGCGGTGGGACCTTTAATCTTTTCGGCGTTCTTTAATGGAATATATGAAAAGGGAGGGAGAGAGGGGGGAGGGGAAATGTTCTTCAGAGATGCACAGGTAGGTAATAGGTATAGATGCAGAACCACGATGGTGGGCGTATGAGAGAGAAAGACAGATACATCTTCGGACGTGGGTCTGAAACCTAATGTCTTATATCGGATCGGCCTCAGGCGACGGCGCGTTGATTGAAGCCTTCGAACTTATGGTACTCGCGCACACTCCAGTACTCTCTAAGTACATGTATCGATGAACATATACACTCCCACAACTTTGATATTCACTTTTTAACAATTTCATAAATTTTCTTTCTCTTTTGTTCTTATAAATAATTTTTTTTTTTTTTTTTTATTGTCCCCGTGTCACAATATAGACGTTTCACTTCAATAAATTTTTTTTTCTACGCGACTTTTGGACGGTATTAAACAAATTTTATTGGATCTAAATAAAATTTGTTTTCAATTTATTTAGCTGAGAAAAAAGTTGAAATAAATTAAATTTCTGGAAAATTTGATTCAAATAACTATTATCGCAAATAAATATATATATATATATATATATATATATATATATATATATATTTACTTAGATCAGATAATTTTTATTTGAAATAGCATTTTTCCAAATACAGAAATTATTGGTACAAATACAATTGAATGCGCAAATAAAAATTATTCGGTACAAGAAAATATTTATTTGATATAGTCAAGTAATCAGGTATTTTTTTTTTTCAGTTATATAATAATTAGCATTTTATTAATCAAACACTAATTAGTGTATTTGACATATATAATTAATTGGTTAATTTAAATAATTTAATCTATCATTCTGATTCGAATAATATTCACAGAATTAATAATTAATTTTGAAAATGTTAAAAATTAATTTTTTTTTTAAATTCTTCAAAATCCCCATATTTTCAATCATAAATTATTTTCGACCTTTCAATGATAATGAAATAAAATAATATTTGCTATATCCAAAAGATTTAACCAAACAGTCGTAATCGATTATACTATATTCATATAATATAATTAAGAGTCAGGATAATATTTATGGTACAATTGCGCGCATATAATGCGTGACAATATCCAAATGCAATTCTATAAACCTGCGTGCGAAATGATTTCGTGAAAAGCCGCGCTTTGATGTTATAAAAAGAAAGATAATAATGATAATCGTAAACACGCGTATATAACCAAAGGATCGCGGTTGCAATCTCAAAATTTATGAAGACGATGAAAGGAACAAGATAAATTTGATATGCTTCAGTAATAAATTTAATTCCTGTTATTAAAGCATAAAAGATGTTGTATTCTAATCTCTGCGATTCATCTTTTCCACATGCGAATATATATATATATAATTCATTTTTTAAGTGATCTCATAACACCTCTCTTTTATAAAACATTTCACTTATTTCTTTTCCAAAATTTTTCTTTTTTATACTCAATCTGAAAAAAAAATTTATTTGATTCAAATACCGGTGTATTTGGTTATTATTAAATAAATATTTATTTGAATCAAATATTTCAGTATTTGAAGCAAATACAATTTATTTGATTCAAATAAGAAATATATTTGATTCAAGTAAATATTTATTTGATAATAACCAAATACACCGGTATTTGAATCAAATAAATTTTTTTTTCAGTGTACGGAAAATTGTAAATTCGATCATATAATTAAACAGAAAAAAAATCTTTACCTGGAATAGCGATAAGTTTCACTGGAACAGCGATATGTTTCACTAAGAAAGTTTTCGTTATTCTAGAGAAACGTATATAGCTGTTTCAGATAAAAAAATTTTTCTCTGTAAGAATTGTAAATTAATAAAAAAAAACTCTTTAAGACAGACAGTCCGAGCGCATTATTAACCCTTTTATGGTATTATATATAATATATACGGCAAACTGGGAGCGATTCGCGCGCGCAATAATGCGTCAAGCATGAAAATTGCGGCAACAAGCGTGCAAACTATAACTTAATCGAAAATGCTGCTGAATCTACACTAATAAAAAATTTCTATTTCATCACTTGCCAATTTTTTTTTCTTTTTTTTTTTTTCACTCAAAGAGAGCCACCGTGAAGTCGCGCAAAAGCCCTTAGGGAATATTCCCTTATAAATAACGAGAGCGCGAACGTTCATTTCAAATCAAAAATTCGAGTCATATCGCTTCGTCAATCATGGGTCATTATATACGATCAGCCGAAATCAATTGCTCCTTATCAATAATAATCTTAATATGTACCGAAAAAAAAAAATTATTATTGTCAGTTTATGCAGGGTGGTCCCATTCTCGTGAATTAATCGCATCGATAAATATCAATTTTCTAATTATAACTTCGCTCTTTTTTGATACTTTGTTTTTTTTTTGAACAATTATTTATTTTTCATTAAAATCATTTTTTTTCCTTCATTTTTCAATCACACTTAACATATATTTAGCGTAATAATTATTATTATCATGATAAATAATATATGTTGAATAGATAATATTGTAACATTATAATATATATGTAAATTTTTCATAATAATGATTAGATGATGCAAATTTAACGAAATAATTGTAAAAAAATAGCAACATTATGGTATAAATTTAATAGAAAAATTGTAATCTTAGAATATCGCTGGGATTACCATTTCGTTATTAGTAAGGATGATATAGCTAATTTATATTAGTTACTATTTAATTAGTTAGCCTAACCATTTCGTTAGTAAGGCAACTAATTAAAATATAGTTATTTCCAAACTAATTAGTTAAACCAACTAATAAAATAGTTATGCCAACCAATAAAAATAGTAACAGCTAATAAATTAGTAGCAATAACTAAAAAAATGGTATTCCCACACGGAAAGAAAAGGAATGGTTGGGCCAACCATAGGTATTGATAAATACGTCCCATCAATATTATATGGTTACCACAACCATATCTTTAGTTGATACACACAGAAAATTAAAAGGCATTAAAATAAGCTGCAACGCTTCTTATTTTAATCCAATTTTGCTTATTTTAATACCAAAATGGATTAAAATAAGAAAAATTGGATTAAAATAAGAAGCGTTGCAGCTTATTTTAATGCCTTTTAATTTTCTGTGCAACCATAGTATATGGTTGGCGCAACCAAAGGTCAGGTTGACACATCAAATTTGCAATTTTTCGTCATTTTGATGTGACAACCTAACCTTTGGTTAGGCCAACCATACTATGGTTGTATCAACTAAAGATATGGTTGTGGTAACCATATAATATTGATGGGACGTATTTATCAATACCTATGGTTGGCCCAACCATTCATTTTTCTCCGTGCAACTAATTTTTTACAAACTAAAATTTTTTTTGCAGTAAAGTGAAATCATCATTAAATTTCATCAAGTATAGAAATTTTCCTATCAGGGCCCCAGTAGGGAATGAAACAACACACCTGATCAGGGCCAAATGTGAATTTTCTAATCAGGACCACAACAGGCGCGGCGTTTCATTCCCTAATAGGGCTCTGACCTGGTTGAAACAGGAAACCCGACCGGGACCAAACCAGGCTCTGTTCGGGCCCCGGTTTTAATCGAAATAGAGCTTTTTATGTATGGCCCCAATCTGGTTTCCTATATGTTTCATCCGAACTTGGAGCTTCCTGATGTGGGCCCTGCCAGGGCCCTTTCAAAATTGCTTCACGGGTTTAAATATACAGTACTTAGAGGAAAATATAAAATTTTTATTACTTCATTTTTGAAAAGTATATCAGTATAAAAATTAAAAAATGAATTCGCGTTTTGACAATTTTTTTTTTTTTTCGAACATATTTATAAAGAAAAATCTTTAAGGTCGATCGAAAATATGTGGATATTCCGCCTAAAGGTTACAAACACTATGCCGAGACACGGTGAAGAGGCTATATTTCGCTTTGGGTCTTGATGCGCGCGCATCAAGTGTACGGCGGGGCGGCGTCTTTTGATCTTGTCTGTAATCCCGTCGGGCCCCGCGGCCTAACTGACGTCATTGCCAAGGTGTCCGCCATCTATATGAGTATTTGCGTCCCCCTCTTTACATACATATATAGATATATACACGTATGAGTATTTCTTACATATATATATGTATAAGTCCACCCTTACTGCGCCTATTGATGGACTCGTTTATGTATATATATACGAATCCAAATGAAACAAAAGTACCTTATATTTACATCAATTGAAATCAATTTTTTATATTCAATTATTAAGTAAATAAACCTCCACTTTATTCTATAATTTATTCATTAAAAATCCCTTTTAACATTCACATGAAAAAAAAATGTAGAATTTTTACCCCAAAATCGGTATAAAAATTACCTGCAACAAATTTTATCCTAGTTGAGGGCGCCACCGTCTATGTGAATTAGCATTGGTGAAAATTACCCGCAACAAAATTTATCCAGCGTTTTTTCTGTGTTTGGGAAAAGAAATTTTTAAAAAATGTTTCAGATAAGTCAATTTCTATTTTAAATCCGATTTTCTATTTTGTGAAAAGAAAATCTCAATAGATAAAGATCTCCAAAGAATATTGAAAAGAAGTTTTCTGATTAGAATCAAAATGGATCCATTCAGCTATATATAATTGGTTATACAAAACGCATTTACTGATAAGGTCAGCAAAAGTCAGAAACAATGGTATATCGTATCCAATTATGCTGAAAACTCGTAAATAAAAAATCTTTTTAAAACGACGACTCCGCCTAGCATTTGATTTCTAAATTCTCATCTTTTTTTTTTTTTTAATAGAAAAATACCAAATCATTTTTTTATATTCCTCAGTAAATAAATATAAATTCTAATTAGAAAAGAGATTTTCTTGTGAAATCCATAACTTTTTTTTTTCTTCAAAGGATATATATATGAGAAATAAAAGAAAGGCGAGGATGAGGACGAAAAAAAGGTGAATGCGAGAAGAAGCGCGGATTTATACTGCTGGCAGCAAAACCACGGCCGTAACTTCTGTCGGATGGACGAATAAGGTTTGTCCGTCCGTCTGTATGTTTGTCCGTGGCCGCATTATAATATCGCGCACAGGGTTTTGTCGGCCCTGCGCGTACACGCGAGCTGTGTATCTCATTTGTTTCTTTGCCGCGTGGCCCAGCGCATAATATTTGTTTGACTTCGTAATTATAGTTACGTTAATTAAGAGGGGTAATTACCAGTAATTAGGTGTGCGCACGTTTAAGCGGCACCTTGCGTGCGTCTCATTTTTTCTATATTCTGTCCCTACTTTTGCTTTTTACGATCTACCTTTTACCTTACTTTGCGAAAATTCTCTCTCTGATGTGAAAAATCTCATCTCTATTAATAATTATATATGCATTCATTAATTTCTTTCCTCCGTCGGCGTTATTCGCAAAAGAATTTTAAAGATAAAAAAAATTCAACAGCCAAAAAAATAGAATCAATGTGAATCGTTTTTTTTTTAATTTTCTAGGTCAGGGACGAGTGAATCAACTCGGAGGAGTTTTCATTAATGGACGACCACTGCCAAATCACATTCGTCTAAAAATTGTCGAAATGGCAGCGAATAATATTCGACCATGCGTTATTTCGCGACAACTTCGAGTTTCTCATGGTTGCGTGTCAAAAATTTTGAATCGCTATCAAGAAACGGGATCAATCAAGCCAGGAGTTATCGGTGGCAGTAAACCCCGTGTCGCTACACCGGAAGTTGAAGCTAAAATTGAAGACATGAAGAAACAAAATCCAGGAATGTTCAGCTGGGAGATAAGGGAAAAATTGATAAAGGTCAGTTGATATGTACCAAGTTTTTCGAAAAATAAAGAATTTGTTCAAAAAATTTTTTTGAATTTTCCCGTAATGAAATAAAAAAAATTTCATTTCAATTTTTAATTAAATAATATACTAACTAGTTTCTCGAATGGTTTTGCCAGCAGGACGGTCTTTGTGAGAAAACAGGAGCTCCATCAGCCTCCAGCATTTCGAGGTTACTTCGTGGTCCATCAGCTCAAATGAAACACTGTGATGACCCTCGCAGAAATCATTCAATTCACGGAATTCTCGGTAAGTTATTTTCTAATTTATATATTAATTTTAAGTATACTACACTGAAAAAAAATTTTTTTAATTAAAATACTCGATTACTTTTGACTATTACCAAATAAATATTTATTTGATAATAGTCATAAGTAATCGAGTATTTGAAACAAATAAATTTTGTTTCAGTGCAATAGTCTTAAAATTTAAAAAAAATTCCATTATTTTTAAAAATAACAATTTTTTGGCATAAAATTGTTTTTCATGTAATAAACACTAAAAATATTTTTTTCTCTTCGAAGATGACATTAATCATCTCTTTCATTTTTGACATATATTAATAAATATAAATGAGAGTCGCGTATGTAATTTATTAGCCAAAAATTGAAATTCGATAATTTTTATGACAGTCGAGTAATAATAAAATGGCAATTTAAACAACTTATGATCGATAAATATGTTATTAAATAATAACATTAAATTCACTTTATACCAACAAATTTCACTTTAATATATAATAAACATTTCGTTACATTTTTATCGAGCAGAAAATCACGTTATGTGAACATTTCGAAATTTTGAAATCTGGGTCCTTCCGCCTATATATATATGCATGATCGAGAGTTAAGCGTAATTATAGTCCGCCCGAAATTAAGTTAATTAACCTAAGGTATAGCCATGGAACGATAACATGTATATACGCAAACGCCTTCATTTTGCCACTCTCTGTGAAAATTATATTTAGAATCTTAACATTATATATTTTCTCGACATCAGGAAAATAATTATTCAATTATTAAATATTGTTGCAAGAATTAATTAATTTTTATTTTTTAATAATTAAAATTAGAAAAAAATTCCAATTAAATAATAATTAACTTAAACAACAAATGAAATTAAAAAATAGTTTTAATATATAATTTTTCAGCATGAAATAATAAGTATTAAAAATAATTTAATAGGATAAGAAAATATATAGATTCCGTCGGCATACTTGTAAAGAAACTCACTTGTTGTTGTTCTTTTTTTTTTTTCATAATCGCGCCGCGAAAGAACAGCGCGAGAAATATTAGGCGTCCTGCGGCGCGTGGATGTGTCAAGTTTATTATCTTGTCTGCTGGATTTGGTTTGATTAGATTAGTCTGGTAAAATTCGGACTTTAATCCCTTACACATAACAATTTTCGTAGAAACTTTTTTTATAAACTTAAAAAATTTTTCAAAAAAATTATTAAAAGAAAACTTAAATTTCTTTTGAAAAAAAAAAATCCGATTACAATAAAATCTATATAGTAGCGCGTTCCGGTCGTTTCATTTATCATCAAAAACGTTCTTTCACGCAATTATTACGAATTTCTCTGAATCAAGTTCTATTTTTTTTTTTCAAAATGTAGTTCAGCTGCGAAGAAAAATTAAACTCTTCTCGCTCGAACAATTCTTGTAACTATCGCAGTATGATCATAAAGAAATCGAGGACTTAATTTTCAAAGACAACTAAACCGCAAAATAATGGTCATTGTCCTGGAAAACAGGGAGAGAGAAAGAGAAAGAGAGAGAGAGGGGTAAACAAAATTATTACACGCGCATTCCTTTATAATTTCGAGTGTCGTAAGCGATGGCAAATTTCCACGAAAGAATCTTCTATAAGGCTCTCTCTGCTGATCCTAGGGAGGCAGGTAACCTGATGAGGATAAGATGAAGGGCGCGCACAGAACGACCAAGAAATATTATAGAGAGAGAGAGAGGGAGAGTTGAAATAAGTAGCGGAAGAGCGAAAGAGAAAGAAAAAAAAAGTGTACTAGGAAATCGCTGCGTGTGGTCCATCAGAAGCTATTCTCATTTTATTTTCCATAATCCAATTTTACGCAGAAAAAATTAAAATTTCATTTCAATAATATACTCAGAATTCCAACAATATTTTTGATTAATATATAATCAGAAATTGATGTTGGTTGAGTCAACACTGATTTATAATTTAGCAGAGTACTGATTAAAATTAATACCAATAATGGGTGTAAAAAAACTGGTCCGTGTAACTAATAAAAGAACCCTTAAAAATTATCTCAGTATCTGTTAAGTACTGAGTACTGTACTACTGGTAGTACTGAGTACTGAACTACTGGTAGTACTGAGTACTGAACTACTGAGTACTGAACTACTGAGTACTGAACTACTGAGTACTGAACTACTGAGTACTGAACTACTGGTAGTACTGCGTACTGAACTACTGGTAGTACTGAGTACTGAACTACTGGTAGTACTGAGTACTGAACTACTGGTAGTACTGAGTACTGAACTACTGGTAGTACTGAGTACTGAACTACTGAGTACTGAACTACTGGTAGTACTGCGTACTGAAGTACTGGTAGTACTGAGTACTGAACTACTGGTAGTACTGCGTACTGAACTACTGGTAGTACTGAGTACTGAAGTACTGGTAGTACTGAGTACTGAACTACTGGTAATACTGCGTACTGAACTACTGGTAGTACTGAGTACTGAACTACTGGTAGTACTGAGTACTGAACTACTGGTAGTACTGCGTACTGAACTACTGGTAGTACTGATTACTGAACTACTGGTAGTACTGATTACTGAACTACTGGTAGTACTGAGTACTGAACTACTGGTAGTACTGAGTACTGAACTACTGGTAGTACTCTCCTACCAGTAATGATGAGTTCATGACCAAAGTTATTAGTTCAATACTGACTATTCATTTAAATGATACCGGAAATCATTACTGATTTAATACTCGTTCAGTGCGCAAGAGACCATTAATTCAACAGTACGCAGACAATGCTTTAATGACTACATGTACCGCATCACTAATCACCTAATTATCCCAATACAACCTCGGGTGTTTATTCCAGCGGTGCGAATATTTCTGAGGTGTCACAAGGCGACGCCAATTATTATTATTATTATTATTATTATAACCGGAAGAAAAATTGAATCTTGATGAAGTAGATGATACATTGATTTAAGGACTCTGCGGTTAAGTTAATGAAGCGAGGAATCCTTGCGGTCCCGGCGAATTGAGATGCGCGGCCCTTCTTGGCCCCCGAGGGTTGCAGGAAGTTTATTATTCTCCGGGACAGTAGCTCATCGTGTGGATGAAGAGATGCGCGGTATTTTCTTTTTTTTTTTTTTTTTTTATAAAGACCCAAGATCAGTGCTGAAGGGTCGCAGAAAGCGCGTCATAAGGTACCTCTCGGAGAAATATATATAGTTAGGTATGCTCCGCGAAGCGTCGCCGAGGATTTACGATCTTGCGCGCTCTTTAATCTTGACGATGCGACCGCCAAGCAACTGGTGGCTTTTGATTTGCCTTGATTCTGGGTATATAACTGCTATTGATTTAGATCCTCGGTTCTTCTAACTTTTTCCATTATCTCTCCGCAAATAGTTTCTTCTTCTTCGATATTTGTTCCTAAGAAAAATAGATTATAGACTGGTGTTACAATTAAGATATTGTAAAGGGTATATTGTACATTAGCATAACAAATGGTCCACTCCATTTTTCAAAACATCTTCGTTTTTTTTTTCAGGCATATTAGTCGCGCTTTCTAAAGCAATGTCAGCACTTTTACATATTTTTCTTGAGAAAAATTTCCAACGATACATCCCCCTGAAACCTTGTTTGATTCGTCACGTGAAAATTGGTAAACGTCGACCAAGTATTTGTATTTGAATTATCGCGTGGCTCGTATACCGTTCCGTTCCGCATCGTCCGCTTCTCGCCCGGAGGAAAGGAAGGAAGGGACATGTCAAAGAACTTAATTCCTCTGTGGCGGGCCCCTAATTTCTCCGGTGTTTTAGTTTAGTATAGGTTAGGTTGGCATGGCTATAATCAGAAGGGATTTAATGGTGGGTTACGTGGCCTGGCTTGTGAACTGTGGGCGTGTACCACTCGCGCTTCCTATCTTCAATATCTGACGTCTAGCACGTGCTGAAGCTAAAAACACTTAGGTCGCGCGCATATATACGCGAAACTAAATTAATATCAAAAATCAATGATTTGCCTTTATATTGAATTTCGAATTCATTTTTTTTGTTTCAGGTGGAAGTAGTGGTGATGATTCGGACACTGAAAGTGAGCCTGGAATTACTCTCAAGCGAAAACAACGAAGAAGTAGAACAACATTTACAGGCGAACAACTTGAACAATTGGAAGCTGCATTTCATCGAACCCAATATCCTGATGTCTACACCAGAGAAGAATTAGCACAAAAGTAAGTGATAAAGAAATTATAGTAAAATATCTCCCTGTTAACACAATTATCTAATTGGTAATTAATTTTCAGAACAAAATTAACGGAAGCAAGAGTTCAAGTTTGGTTCAGCAATAGACGAGCAAGATTACGAAAGCAGATCAACAGTCAGCAAATCAATGCCTTCAATACAATGAGCCTACAGAGCTTTCAGCCGCAACATTACAGTAGTACTCCTGATAGTTATCAAACATACAGTCAAACCTCAGCAGCAACAACTCCTGCTGGATATTCTCAGGCTTACAATTATAATGACAATTATTATACATCTCAGCAACAATGGCCAAGATCTGATAACTATGGGTAAGTTAAAATAATCCTTCTCTCCTATTTAAAAATCTAGAAACAAAATATATATTAGCTCAACTCCCATTGCTATAGTAATAAAATATCAGATTCAAACTAGCTTTTTGAAATCATCTGGCAACATATTTCCATGACGAATTTCACAAATACGTGAAATGGCATATAAGAAAAACGTGAGCGGAAGTAGAAATGGTCCGAGACCCCCCATTGAGAGAGGATCGAGAGAGGCCTCTTTTGAAAAAAGAAAAATCGCGCGACGTTTCTTTTCGTATAGTATATAGTGGCATCAGAGGCGTTGAAAACAATTAATTCAAGTATTGTGGAGTAATAATAGGTTGAAGTTTGCAAAAAGGGAGTGCAGCAAGTGAGTAGATTCAGTCAAGTTGGATACAGTGTGGATCGCTTGCGGTCGGGACCCTCCGGTGTGGTCCGCAATTATCTTCCTTGCCCCGTAATGAAACGCTACCGGCTAATAATCCAGCCAGTGAAGTGCTGATCCTTCCCGCTATTCCACTCCTACTAAGTTAAAGACCATGTCAAACATTTCCATCGAACAAGATATACAATATTTTCCAAATATATATATTTTTTATTCTATTTAGTTTTTTTACGAAATTAGTTTTGAAACTTTTTAAATTGAAATCTAATTTAATGAAAATAATCTAAAAAAAAAGCGAAATAAAATCTTGTGAAAGAGACGTGAAATATGCGCCTGCGCCAAGAAACACCTACCAATTGAAATTACGTCTTTTACCCTATCACGTTCTTGCCACTGACGTGTATACTTATACTCTCAACACACGCACAATTTAACTTCTGCTTCAATGACTCAATTCCCAACAATCATGATAATATCCCCCTTTGGCGAGAATTAATTTCATATTGTGAAAATTTATTTCTTAACGTTATATTCGCTTTCTTATATATGATTATTTTATAAACGGCTACCAATTAAGATATATTCGCGCAATTAAAATTTCCCTGATTTGATATAATTAACACGTGTGTGTGTGTGCATATATATTGATAAACTATATTTGATGAAAAATTATTAATTGCAATCGCGTGTGTATAGATCTTAAACGTATAATGAAAAGAAGAGGGAAACGATCTTTTTAAAAGACTTAACAATTTTTTTACTGTTCAGAAAGAGGCATCAGAGGGGGGGATTCAAAGTACGCCGCTGAGTCGCGGCAACTCATCTCGACACGCCCTACAAAAATAATTCCTTCACCATAACTATTCCTATTGGCTTTGCAACCGGTATAAAATCTTTGATTACAGACCGGAATGTCTTCGAGAGTGGACGCTTATTAAAAATATTGTCACTTTCGAGAAAAAAAAAAAAAAGATACTTAAAAAGTAAATACTATATAAATCGAAACTCTGTATATAGGAGATAAATCGCTCTTGGACTAAAAATAGATAAAAGTAAAAAAATTTTATTACTTCAACTGCTATTAAGAGTCTCTATAATGAAAATATAAATTATGCATTTATTGCCGTTTAGCTCTCTGCATTGGAAATTATGTTAATTTAACTATTGCACACTTGTATATATATATATACATTTGAAGCTTCATTCCAACAAATTCTTACTTTGCATTTTTTTTGTCGTCAATTTTTACAACGCAGTTAAACATACAATTGGTTTTATTTATTAATATTAATATTACCGTTGCTAAAGAAAAATATAAACTATATTTTATTAGAAACTATAGCAACGGTTGCTATAGTAACTGTTACCATGGCAACCGTACTACTCTCTAAATCTGAATCAGTAGAAATTTTACTAATTCAATCAGTACTTTTCATTTTAACTGAAGTTTCAGTTATTTTTTGAAATTTACTAATATAATTAGTAAGCAATAGAAAATAACCTATGTAAATCAGTAATTTGTATATAACATAACCTTTAAAATTAACTATTAAATCAGTAGATTTTATGGCTGCCGCCATATATTTATATTACTGATTCAATCAGTATCACAGAAAAAACGCTGGGTAAATTTTGTTGCTGGTAATTTTCACCAATGCTAATTCACATAGACGGTGGCGCCCTCAACTAGGATAAAATTTGTTGCAGGTAATTTTTATACCGATTTTGGGGTAAAAATTCTACTTTTTCTTTTGTGTGTAATTGATATTTTACTAATTGAATCAGTAAATTTCTACTAATCAGTTGCTCAATTGTCGCTATGGCAATTAGTAGATTTCTACTGCTAATCAGTGAAATATAACTGATTCAGATTTAGAGAGTAAACTGTAAGACGGACGGACGCTAAAGCGAAACTATAAGGCTTTCGGACATGAACCACAAAACCCTAAAAAAGAAAAGAAAAAAATTTTGCAAGATACTATTTTGAATTGAAAAATATTGGGGTGCAAGTGTTTTCTTAACTGATTACAATTAAAGTGTTTTTCGGTATATATATATATATAAGAGAAAGGTGCGAGAGGAAGGAGTGTCTCAAGAGGTGTGCTTGGAAGTATATAGAGGCTTTAAGAAAATTATTATAGCAGGGGCGAGTTACGAGCGAGAAGATCGTTTTATGTATTATAGTTTGTAAAAACTCACAGGGGCTTTTGCCGCCTTTTAATTTTGGATTCTGACCATATTTTTTTTTTTTTTTGCAGATTGTTCAACGCCTCCCACTACGGTGGCGGTAACTTGGCCTCAAATTTGGCCTCAAGCAACCTAAATTTAGGCAGCCTGGGAGGCAGTGTCAGTCCGACGACAGCAGCTACCAACATGAGCACGTGCATGATACAGGGTGCTTCCTCGGGTGTTCACACTTCCGGAATGGGACATCATCATCACGTTACACCACACAGTCCAAGTGAAGCCAAAAGTGGCTATCCATATTTGGGCGGTATTGACACTCAAGTCTGTGGTCGAGTTCATTAACAATTTTCCGCATATAAAAATTCAAAAAAAAAATTTTCGTCTTTGGAAAATGATGCACCTTTTGTATATATACATATCTTTTTAGAATTAGATAGTACTGTGTAAATATTAAATTATTCGGTAATTATTAATTGCAAAATTTGAAAAAATGTAAAGCGATGGATCTCATTGGCTTATAGAGGATTTGAAAAGAGGAAACATTTTTGAAATTTTAAAAAAAGATTAAAATATTTGCAATTTTATAGATTTTTTTTTTTAATAGACCCAGTGAAAATAATATTAATGACTAACTTGAGCATATTTTTCACTTTTGAATTTGTGATATATTAGAGGAATAAAATTTTATTTCAGTGTTTTCTAAACTGAAATTTTATTGTAAGAAATCGAAAAAATAATCGTAAGAATAAAGAATAATTTTAAAAGAACAAAATTTGTAACTTAAATAAGCGGTTTTAAGTGCTTTAAATAGTATAATACATAATAGTAACGATTTTAAGCTTCCTGTTATTAGAATAAAAATTCTTTTCCTTCATCTTTTCGACTGCTATATACGAATTTACGCATATATTATAGCTATATTATGATCTGTACGATTGAATGTTAAAAAATAAATCATCGTTTCTTAAATTATTTTTTTGTTATTCTCTACTATACCAGTGCAACCTATTTTCAATTTGTAGTTTCAATTACATGTTTTATAATTATTTTTTTTTTTATCTCAATTTTCTAAAAATTTGCAATTTTTCCTTATTATGACAAAAAAAAATAAAATTTTCATTCAACTTGAAATAAATCATTTCGAAAATATGAATTTTTAAAACAGTAATTTGGAGATATAAATACGGGGAGAACAGTTCTTGAAGTTAAAAATAGACTTCAAAGGTAAGTCAGCATTTTATACAATTTTTACTCCTTACGGAGTTATTGTAAAGGAATCAAATTTTACCTCTCTACTCTCTAAATCTGAATTAGTAAAAATGTTTACTAATTTGAATTAGTGACTCACTTCTTGCTTCTGAATGCATTTGCTTCTGAATGCTTTTGCCTTTGAATTAGTAACTTTTACTAACAATTAGTAAAATTTAACTATAATTCAGAAGCAAAAAGTGAGTCACTAATTCAAATTAGTAAACATTTTTACTAATTCAGATTTAGAGAGTAGGTTTAACCCCAAAAGAGTGTAACTTTGTAACAATTTTTACATTGTGAAAAAACCGAGAAATTATTAAAGAAAGCCGGAGTGAAAAATGTAAGAGACCTTTATAGAATTCCATATTACGGATTAAAATTTGAACGCACCTAATATTTTTACACACTGCATCAAAGTGTTTTGATATAAATAAATGTTGAACCCACCCAGTTGGATGTCTTATATATATATGTACACAGTGCCGACAATCGGATACACACAGTGACAACGAGCAATCAGCCTGCCGTATATCTACGGGTCCTGTCGCCACGCATTTGTACCCATTGTGTCTCCCATAGTAGGTGGTCGGTTCTCCAATGTCTAGCACACAGAAAAGTTGCCGGCAGTTGAATCTTGTCTTTTTTGCGTTTGTCTTTAGATCTTTTTCGTTTCGCTTCAATCGTCTCTCTTTCTCTCTCTCTCTCTCTCCTCATGTCGTTTTCTTCAACCACATTTTATTTCCCATAAAAAAAATCTTCACTCTCTTGGAATCCTATTGTTATAATATATATGTATATATCCTCTAACAGTAAATTTACTCCTCATAAAATGGTTAACAAAACTGTTTCCTCTTTTAACAAAAACATATTGATAATCATTTAAACGACCGAAATTAGACACCGTATACAACATTTTCCTTTTTTTCACACGCATTTATTTTTTTTTCTTCTCAAGAATAAATTTATTTCATGTTTCTCATTAATTTTACGATTTATTGTGATTTGTTTCATATACCATAACTCTGATTAAATGTTAATCAGTGGTTTTTTTTTCCAATAAAAATTATTAGTTAAAATTTTCATTTTAAAGAATTTTTATAGATACGGCCCAGGTGAAAAAATTAACGTTACTATAATGTTACTAACGTTAATACCTATAAAAAAATTAAGAGTTTCTAAAATATATTTTCACGGAAACTTTGCCACTACTTTCCCATTACCACTTTCACTTCCACTTAAACTTTTTATAATTTTCATTCCCATTTTTACTTCTACTTTTTCTAATTCTCATTCGCACTTCCATTCTCACTTCTACTCTTTCTAATTCTCATTCCCACTTTACTTCCACTTTTTCTAATTTTCATTCCCATTCCTATTTCTACTTCCAGTTTTTTATATTCATTGCCACAACCACTTTTTCTAATTCTCATTCTCACTTTCACTTCCACTTCCACTTGTTCTAATTTTCATTCCCATTTTCACTTCCACTTTTTCTAATTTTCATTCCCATTCCTATTTCCACTTCCAGTTTTTTATATTCATTGCCACTACTACTTTTTCTAATTCTCATTCCCACTTTCACTTCCACTTCCACTTGTTCCAATTTTCATTCCCATTTTCACTTCCACTTTTTCTAATTTTCATTCCCATTCCTATTTCTACTTCCAGTTTTTTATATTCATTGCCACTACAACTTTTTCTAATTCTCATTACCACTTTCACTTTTACTTCCACTTGTTCCAATTTTCATTTCCATTTCATCTTTCATTTTTTTATTTTCATAACAACTTTTTTATATTTTCACTTCCACTTCCATTCCTAGTTTTTAAATTTCCATTACCACTTTTACTTTTTCTAATTTCCATCCATTGTAATTAAAAAAAAGTGGAAATGGTTGTGTAAATGGAAATTAGAAAGAGTTTTAGTCGAAATGGCAACAGCTAATGAAAACTAGAAGTGGGAATGAAAATTTGAAAAAGGGAAGTGGGAATGAAAATTAAAAAAAGTGGAAGTGGAAGTGGTAATGAAAATAAAAAAGTGAAAATGGGAATGAAAATTAGAAAAGTGAAAGTGTAAATGAGAATTAGAAAGAGTGGAAGTGGGAATGGAAGTGCGAATGAGAATTAGAAAAAGTGAAAGTGGAAGTGGTAATGTAGATAAAAAAGTGGAAGTGAAAACGGGCATGAAAATTATAAAAAGTGTAAGTGAAAATGGGAATGAGAATTAGAAAAAGTGAAAGTGGAAACGGTAATGAAAATAAAAAAGTGGAGAGGTGATAATAGGAATGAAAATTATAAAAAGTGCGGGTAAGAACATTAAATACTTCCTGGTGATCGATTTTCGACAAGTTTCTGCAAAAATACAATTTAGACACAGTTTCCTAATTTTTTTTATAGGTACTAACGTTAGTAACATTAGTAACGTTAGTAATATTAGTAACGTTAGTAATGTTAATTTTTCTACCTGGGGGAATTTTTAATTCGTAGAATATTTTTAAAACGCCAAATTTTTATTTGTCCGAATTTGCAAATGACCGCGAACAAATAATCGACAGAATGATTTCGGCGCTATTTTTAAAATCCACCAATCACAATTTTCTTTGACAACTTTTCCCGTGTAGAAATTGCCCTATCAGGGCCCTAGTAGGAAATGAAACGCCACACCTGCTTAGGGCCAAATCAGGGCGACCAGAAAATGTGGATTTCCTAATTATAGGGCCACATCAGGCGCGGCGTTTCATTCCCTAATAGGGCAGCCTGATCCGGACCCTGGCAAAATTTCTACACGAGTTGATTAGTGAATTTTAAATATCGCGCCGAAATATCTTTCTACCGATTGTTTGTTCGGTGACTTGCAATTTCGGACAAATAAAAATTCGGCGTTTTAAGAATTCTGACAAAATAAAAATTCAGTGACTAAAAATTCTTTAAAAACGAAATTCTTTTAAATTAGTTATTGAAAAAGTAAAACTGTATACTTTTCAGATTAATTTCCTTTTTGCTTTATGATGCGGGAGGGAAAAATGTCATAAAAACTTTATTTTCAGACTTTTCCAATGAAATTCTTGAGAGTCGCCTAAACATTAAATTTTCGAGAATATATATGTTTAGCTAAAGTGTGTTCTGACACAGTTTTTATATTTTCGTGCGTGGGGTCCTTGACCTACCGCATTACGAGAGTGCGAAAGAAACTCCCGAGTGTACTTGGCCCAAAGCGTTTTTGAGAGGCAACAGATTGGACAAGAGGGTTGGCATAAGATTGGTGCGTATATATACACACAGTAATACATATATATATATCGAGGGGTGAGTAGGTGCCGCGTGTTTCAAAGGAGCCGCTCAAAAAAAGCAGCTCGAATGAAAACCATTGGGGGATGGGAAATGGGCGGGTATCGTTGAATGGCGAATTATAGACTGAAAAAGACGAGATGTGGGGTCTTCTCACATTCAAAAATGCAATATTTGCTTTTTACAAACAAAAGAACTCATTTTTTAAATCAGTGCATTAGGTTTAAAATATCATCCAGAACATCGTCACCTTATATATCTATTAATCTCTCAATATACATTAGCAGATTTTTCAAATATCCATTTTCCAAAAAAAATGGAGAAAAAATTGAAAGAATTCAAAACAAAACGAAAGCGAATGGATAGACAAAAATAGAATTTGCCCCAAGAAGATGGTTTTTTTTCAAATATAAAAAGATTTTTTTAGGAATAAAATCCACTTTGAAGGGAATTGAATCAAATTTTAATCAGTGGGGAATTTTTCTTTCTGATATATACTAATTCATCTTCTAAGAATTTTTTCTAAAAACTACTTTGCACACATTATATTCTTATTAATAATTTTTTCATATTAATTATCCGTATATCTTTTATATGCCACAATTTGTCAATTCTGACATAATTAATTTTTCTCCTACATAATTAATTACAAATTCAGTATATAGAAATATAAAAGATATAGTAAAAAATCGATTTTTCTTTTTCACATCTTATTGTTAATGGTTAATCAACGGTTTTTTTTTGGTTCCGAATAGTTATAGGCCCACACATTTATAATGTAACTTGAAAATAAAGTAATAAAGAAGATAAATCTTTTGTATTTAAAGAAATAATATATAATAAAGAATCTGATTCTGTTCTTAGTATTATCCCCCTGTGTTGAGGGCTTTTTATTTTTCTCCATACTAGACAATATGACGCCTGTAGAATTTTTCTCTTTCAGGTGGCCGCACTTTTTTAAAGTATCTCGGGCCCCGTAAATTTGACATATCTCTCTCTCACACAAACACACACATAAGACGTTACCAAATATCGGTAGATCGAACAGATGTATCGACAACGGGAAAGTTGATAGGCGTGACGGCCTCCCAAGCTGAAGCCGCACCCCCATGAGAGAAATTCATAGGGGCGGTTTCTCAACGAACCCCATTTTGCTTCCACGCGTCATTTTAATTCGCGTATGTGACAATGATATTCTCAAAATTCCCTTAAATCTCAAAAAAAAAATAATAATAATAATCAGGGTGACCGACAAATTCTGAAAATTCCTTAATATTTCCCTAATTGACTCTTGCTTTAAAAAATCTCTAATTTGTACCTGATTTTTTACTGATAAACTACAAAACACAAAAAAACAAATACTGAAACCGTTAACATCTTAAAATCAAAATGCCTTAAAACTAGTGTAATTTTAATCTTAAAACTAGATTAAGTCAATTTTAGGGCTTAAAATCATACACTCAAGGCTGAAATTCAGTAAAAATGGTTCTAATGTTAACGGTTTTAGTCAAAAGTGAACTGAAAGTAAGTATTATTTTTTAGTGTGAACTTATTGTTATAGAAATAACATAAATGTATCGCGTCGCGAAGAAAGGGACCTTAGAAGCAAAAAATTATATATATAGGTTATATTTTGAAATGAAAATACATCAAAATTAATTCTTAATAAAAACCAATGATGTTTATATAAAATAATAAAAACTGTTTTTTATGCTATAGAAACTTGTATAATCAATAGGTAAAATATAAACATAACCTATAATTCGTTTGCTTCTAAGGTCCCTTTGTTCGCGACTCGTCACAAATAATCGTCATTGCGTCCAACCAAATGTTACTTATAATTTTAAACAAGAAAGGAAATATAAAATCACTCACCGTTCGCGAATCCAAGTATATATCACAGCCTCTTTTGGTCCATTTGTCGAAGATCTCGTATTCAGCTGCCGCAGTTCCATTCTTCAAAATATTGTAGAACTAAAAAAAATTAAAAGCAAAATATTTAGTTTCTAAAATAGTTATATTGGTTATATTGAATGCTAAAATTATTTTTAAATATTAGTTCACAGAAAATTAAAAAAGGCTTATTTTAATCCATATTTTGGTATTAAAATAAGCAAAATTGAAGCGTTGCAGCTTATTTTAATGCCTTTTAATTTTCTGTGATAATATATAACTATAATGCCATAGTAACTAACTGTTACCATAGTAACTAATGCCAAAGTAACTAATGCCACAGTAACTAATGCCGCAGTAACTAATGCCGCAGTAACTAATGCCGCAGTAACTAATGCCGCAGTAACTAATGCCGCAGTAACTAATGCCGCAGTAACTAATGCCGCAGTAACTAATGCCGCATTAACTAATGCCGCAGTAACTAATGCCGCAGTAACTAATGCCGCAGTAACTAATGCCACAGTAACTAATGCCACAGTAACTAATGCCGCAGTAACTAATGCCATAGTAACTAATGTCATCACAGAAAATTAAAAGGCATTAAAATAAGCTGCAACGCTTATTTTAATGACTTTTAATTTTCTGTATTATTTTTTAAAAGAAACCATTTCTTCAAAGAAGTAAAATTTTATTCCGAGATTCGATCAATTGTCTGATTTTTTTTATATAAAGAATAATCGCGGAGGCCTTTTTTTCCTGACTCTTGAACTGTAAAAAATTCATATTGCAAAAGCACAGTATAACAGTTAGCCAAGTGTAAATATACATTATATTAGAACACAAATCATCGTCTATTAAATATGTACGGGAAACAAAATGGGGTGATGTTCGAAAAACACACGCAGGACCAGTTCACACGAGTCATATATATATATGGCTGACTTTGTGATCATCCCTTCTATAAGGGTATCTACCCTTGTGCTAAAATGACTATGGCCGCAGACACAGAAAATGTACAGAGACATATAAGAGAAGAAATACGAACAAAAGCTTACAAACGAATAGATTAATCAAACCTAACTGAACCAATGAAAAGCGTACAAATTTCATATACAGCATATAGGAGGGGTTATAAAATATCATATGATTGTGTATATCTGTATAGTTCACGACAATAATTCACATAATTACAAATATATATCGCTCCAAGTAATTTCGATAATATTATTTTTAAAAATCCTCTAATTTTATTTAGAGGAAATTATTACTAAATTATTTTAGTATACTGGGAACCCGATCGGGAGAACAGAAAAAATTCCTATTTCGATTAAAACCGGGGCCCGACCAGGGACTGGTCCAGGCCCCGGTTCCCTGTTTCAACCAGCTCAGGGCCAGGTTGGCAGAATTTTTGCACGGGAAATTATCGCAGAACTAAGCCAGTACTTATCTGTAAAAAGCCTTGCAGAAATTCGCCAACCTGGCCCTGACCTGGTTGAAACATGGAAACTGACCAGGGCCAAAGCAGGCCCTAGTCGGGCCTGGATTTTAGTTGGGATGAAATAGGGCTTCTTCTATGACCCCGATCGGGTTCCCTGTTTCATGCGAATATGAAGCTTCCCGATCTGGGCCCTGCCAGGGCCCTTTTAAAATTTCTACATGGGAAAGTATTATAGCTGCAAAGACTAATTATTATAACCAATACACACTAAAAAAGAAATCTTGATTTCAGCCTATTTTTGAGGCTGAATTTAAGGTGTAAACGGAGTCAGACCAATTAAAAAAGGACAGACTTATGCAAAATATATGGGCTTAATTTAAGGTGTAAACGGTTTAAGACTTTGTTTTTACTGTGTACCAATATATAAATAAATAAACGAATATTTTTTCAATATAATAAATATAATATATATAAAACTATATAAATATGATGGATGATATTACAAAACATTAACTGAATATACACAGCAGATCGCATAGCAAATCTAAAAAGCAGAATAGGGGAACGATCTTGGCAGAAGTAAAAGGTCTAAAGCTGTTGCGAATTTAATGATGATTGTGAATGACGTTCTACCGCTGACAATCATCATATAGTGAAAATCGCCAGTAATTGTCGTTATTAACAGTATATCGCGTAAACCAGTTATTATATAAATATTTTATCTATCTTTTATTTATTGAGAAAATGCTTCTCCAATGTTAAAAATATTTCATTGTATTCAATTATATATAATTATTTTTCCAGTGAAATAACAGGACAGTAAAAAAAGAATAATCAAAAGGGGGATAAATTTTAATTTTCTGATTTATCAAAAAAAGAAAAAATATTCTTTATCAATTAATCATTTCCCCAAATTCCAAATCTGTGATATTCACTCAGGGTGCCATTTTTGCAGCTTTCTCTTTTTGCCTCCATATTTCTTTTCTTACATTCGGGGGTGCAAAGAGTAGATTTTAAAGTATAAAGAGGGTTGGGAATCCCCTCTCTCTCTCTTGATTTCTCCTTTTAAATACAGGGACAAATTCGACAGTGAAGCGACACCCGGTTTTTTTGGACCCCAACTTATATATATATATATATGTACATGACACCGGTATACATAAATGATCATTGCAAAGATCCACAAACGCGGCGTGATGCGCGACCAATCAGAACGACGCGGGCAGCTGCCGCAGCCGCAGTTTACTAGTATATATATGGGGACCAAAAGAATATGGAGGTTTCATTCATTCATCATGAACCTGGTTACAACGATTTCGACTTGTAACGGAACCCCTCCATTTCCCCTGGTACCCCTCATCTACATTATCAGGAATTGGCTATGTTACTATACTTATAAACCTCCCTCTTACCACCCCTCCTTTCTCTATATACCTATATATATACCTCTCGCGCTACCACCGTTCAAAAAATTTTATTTTCCAAAAAGAAATTTATATATATAGCATTTTGGACCCTAAATGCCGAATCGGAATAAACCGTTAAAAATCTGATTGCTCGATTTCTACGGATCAGCAACCAACTTCCGGTATATGCATTTCATGCCTTATTACAAAAAATATAGGATTTATGAGATATATAAAGAGAAAAAAAAGGGAATTATCAAACTCTGGCATATGTACGGAAATTGGAAAGATTTTTCGGTTCATTTTTATTTTATTATATATATTTGAGTGGATGGATGAACCAAATGTATAAGAGTGTGATTGAAACTCCGATTGAATTATATATTAAAACAAAAAACCTCTCCTTTTTAAATTATAAAAATAAAATCTTTTAACAAAGTAGTCACGCGTTTTAAGGAGAAAACAAGATTAAATAAAATATAATTAGGTATCAAACAAAATGTATTTTTTTATTGTAGTAATTATCAGGGCTCTACTAAGGAATGTAACGCCACACCTGATCAGGGCCAAATTAGGGCGACCAGAAAATTGTGGGTTTTCTAATCGGGGCCTCATCATACGCGGCGTTTCATTCCCTAATAGGGCAGCATGATCCGGACACGATCTAGGCCCTGTCAGGGCCCACGTCGGGAAACTCCAAATCCGCATGAAAAAGGGAACATGATAAGAGCCACAGAAGAGCGCCCCACTTCAACCCGATAAAAACCGGGCCCCGACCATGGCCTGGTTTGGCCCCGATCGGGTTCCCTGTTTCAACCAGGTCAGCGCCAGGTTGGCGGGAATATATGTTAGAAATCACACTCCAACTTTACACCAGAAATATTGAATATATAATTTAAATCTCAAAAAGAGTGTATATATTTTATGGACCTGTTTTCTGGAAAGTTATATTATTGTATTCGATTTCTATAACAGTGTGTAATATATACAAGATGATGACTTATATGTAGATTGGAATAGTTTGCGAGTAAAACAGGTCGCTAAAGATGAAAATGTTTAGCTATGTCAAGAGGCTACGTGGCCAATCTAATTTCACGTGAAGATCTGATCGGAACCGCATAATTGACCTAATCAAATTCTCTCCACCGCTTGTAAAGCGTAAAACACCATCACTGGTGTAAGTAGGCATGTCATCACGCGTTATGAACTTAGTTCTGCCCAAAAAATCTTGCCGACGACCCTCTTTTTGTTACGCGGATTTCGCCGTGAGAGATCTTCATATTATATATAACATATAAATATATACTTCATTCAATACAATTACATTTATATTCAAACTATATAGCATTATTCATTTTATTCATCTTCAATTTGGAAAAAAAGAGAAGTTTGCGTTAAATAATTTCAAAACTCAGTATAATTCAAATTTACGTTTATACATATTTTTTCTTATATTTTACATAAAAAAAAATAATTTAAAAAAGCAGCTTGAAAATCTCTATATAATAAAAATATATATTAAGATATACTAACAAATTTATCATAATTCTTTAAAATTCATAAGAAAAATAGTTACCGGTTCATTAGTTCTTTATCTAATCGCTATTGGAATAAAGAGTACATATATATAATTATTGTGTTCGCCAGGTGTTTTGATGTCTATATCTTTATGACTATCGTTGTGACCATTAGCGCACGTGCAACGCAGGCCTGAACGTTTTTCAAGACAAAACACAAGCGACACTTAATTTTTACGCCTGTCAAAAATTTTAAGATAATCTTATTCAGTTTCTATTCGATTACGTCACATTATCACGAAACTCCAAATAAATTTTGGAATTTTTTAAAAAATTTCGATTTTTCAAATTTAGAAAATAATCACTGCGGAATAATACGAAAGTCTTAACTCAGAAGTCACAAATAAATAAAGATATATGGCACATTTTGATAGGTCCAGCGGATGCTGAGATTAACTCAAAAACATTTTGGAATAATTTTCGAAAAATTAAATTTGCGAGATAACTGCTCCGGAATACCATAAATAAAATAGATCTAAAGTTTCGAACAAAAAATATATTGCGACCTTTTTGATTGGTTCAGCAGATGCTGAGTTAAACTAGAAAACAAATTCGGAAAAAGTGCCGAAAAATTAAATTCGCCAGATAATCGTTCGGGAATACAGCCAAAGTCTTTAGAAAAAAGTTTCGAACAAAAAATGTATGGCGCACTTTTAGATT